CCAAGCCTCTTCGCTGGACGAGTCGTCGATCTTCTTCACATCCTCAGACAACAGCAATTAAAGCATGAGAAGCAATGAAGCACAACCCAATGTTCGCATCATGCAGCATGCGATATTGCTATCAGGTCGCTTGCCACTTGCCGTCCATGACAGTTTTGGCAGCCAGCAGGTCTTCCATGGCTTTGCCACTCGCGGAGTGCCCCTGGAGCACCAACTGTATCTTCGCCATACTGCCGGCCTTATATCGGATGCATCCCAGGATGTCCTAAAACACGATGCGAATTAACATGCGTGCACACATGCGGTCTTTAATGCAACCATTGCTGCTTTGTGCATCATGATTGTGCTCAAAAGCTCTTTGGTGGCCGAGCGGTCCACCAAAGGAAAAGGTGTCGTGAACAAAGAGGATGCCTTGGCCTTCCTGACATCGAAGACCGCTTTGGGGTTCTCGTTGCCGCCTCCGCCCTTCCGCTTGTTTGCGGTCTTGGCCTTCGCCTTGACTTTGGGAGTCGCATCGGCAGGGCCTGCCGGGAATCACCGGAATGAGATTTGCGAACAAAGTGCAAATCCAACCATGCACAAAGCACCCCGCCTGTTGGTGCAGGGTTGGTCTCCACCGGTGTTGCTCCCGGGGCCCCTGAGTTGCCCTCTGCGGCACCGTCGGCCACAGGCGGAGGGTCGTGTCGCAGCCTACAGCCATCTCACCCAGACCGATGTGTGCCACAATATAAGTAAGAAAACAATCGCACCGAACGGCATGCACCCGAAAATGCAGGCGAGGAGCAGCCTGCCCATCAGGGCCTTCGCCTCCGGTCGTTTGTCGAAGGCCAAAGGAACCACCTTTGCCCTCAGCTCCTCTTTCCTTTCATGGGTTTCCTGCAAGCGATCCTGAACAACCAATCTGAACAATTTCGCATCCTCATGCCCTCGGAGATTGGGATCTTGTTTCCATCCTGAACTGAGCAAAATCAATTGCAGCTCGCAAGCCTCGCACGAAACAATTAATATTAGCCGAGCCACGGCCGTCGAGCAGAGCCTGAGCAATTGCATCCTTGGCTTTCTGGCCGTTGTTGTGGTAGAAAGCTAACACACCCTCGGGGGTCAGGTAGTCGGACAAATGGGTCGTCGTCCTTGCACAAAAATTGATCTCAAACATGTCTCTGTGCATGGAGCCGTGGCGGAAAGTATTAACTTGGCAGATCGAACTGACGAGTGCGAGCAAAGAGGCTCCGTCTGGGTGTCGGCCAGAATGATTTCCGTCGT